TACCATATCTTATGGTTAGAACAACCTTAGTTCAGAATTTACGGAAAAGTACTTTGCGGTTTTCTTCACATACATAATATCAGGCCAGTCCTAACCGTTTTCCTGACCTATCATAGAAACGAAATAAGGATAGGCGAACGTCCCAAACACTATGCTACGCCAAACTTGCCGATTTTCTGAACCGTGGTTTTCATCATATCCAACTTCAACGTCCCAGAATTTTCGTCTCAGATGCGTGTTTGGTGGATAGAGTAAACTAGAGGCAGTGCAACTTCTGACATCCATAACTTGCTCAAAATTTTTGAAATTGTTTTCTTTTGCTGCTAAAATTCCAACTCGATCAACCCAAACCTCATAAAACGGCAAGCAACTAGTATTGATTCGATGCAAAATTTGTTTCTTCTTGTGACAGACACTTTTTTCTGTGGAGGCTTCGAAAAACATCGTGACTCTTGCTTCTTAATTCGTCCTACTCTGTATCCGGCAAATTTGAAGAATGAGGCGATGAAAGTTTATTTGCTTTGTGAACTTAATGTTCATTCGTAATCTGTTTATGGAATTTTGAATTCCGAAAACTTGTCAGTATTTGGAGCGTTTATGACTGCAGAATGTGCAGACTTACGAAAAATCAATTTGAGAACTGCTACAAAACAGTCGAAAATGCCTAAATGATTTACTGAAATTCTCTTTGTTTACTCCATTCAACTGTTATTGAAGCTATTCCGAAAGCTAATAGCAAAAATCCAAAAACTGCTTAAGTTGCATGGTGAAAAGGTGTTTTTGCAATTCCGGCATTTCGATTAATACAGAAGCAACTAGCTCAGGGAAATGTCAGCAAAGTAAAAAGAAACAGAAAAGCTGCGTTGAATAATGTTTTAAGTACTTTACACTCAATATGTTTTGAACGGTTGCAAGCCAAAAACTTTTGCATCGACTTAGTACAAAAAATACTACAATATAAAAAAATATACAAAATTATTAACAATCGCTCTAATTCTTAGTTACGTCCACAAAGGAATCTTTTGAAATTTTACTATTTGTTGACTAAAATCGATTGTCTGAGTCGATGAATGATATTTTAAGAGCTATAAAATTGATAGAATTGAGAGAAAGTTGGCTTACTCCTCACATTGCGCCCGCCATTGGTACATAAATCATAGATTGTTCCAGGATACCTCAGCTTCAAAGAGGTTTGGGCGCTTCTCAAGAAAATGAACTTACAATTCAGTGAAGAATACGCTAAAGCAATGTTTAAGGTACGAACAAAGTTTGTTCAAAATTTACGCAGCTCACTTTTTCTACAGGATTCCGAAGAAAAAACTACGCGTGATGGTGTTCTGGACGAGAAGGAGTTTCTCAACTTCTTCGAAAGACTAACGGACAGACCAGAACTGAATCATCTGTTACGAATGGCAAGTGCCGATGGAGTAGAAAGCCTCACAAGCGCTGATTTGC